TTGCCAGCTGTGTGACCTTAAATAAACTGCTTAATTTCTCTGTACGTCACTTTCCTTATCAGTAAAATGGGGGTAATAATATCAGTTTCACGTAATTGTCTCAGGATAAAATGAGGTAATAAATGTGAAGCACTTAGAACAGTATTAAATACTATAGAAGTGTTAGAAGCTAATGGAGAGGACACTGTCAAGAAATGGGGATGGTTTATAGCCTTGGTCAGCAAACTACGGCCTGCAGGTCAAATCCACTCTGCTGCCTGTTTATGCACAGCCTCTCAGTTAAGAATGGGCTTTACATTTTCGAATAGTTGAAATAAATCACAGGAAAATATGTGGAATTCAAATTTCAGTGTCCATAAATAAAGTTTTACTGGAGCACAGCCATACTCCTGTTTAAGTATAGTGGTGGCTGCTTTTGCACTACAATGGCAGGCTTTGAGTAGCTGCAGCAAATCCCTTATGGTTCACAAAGCCTAAAATATCTACGACCCAGCCCTTTACAGTAAAAGTGTGGTGGATCAAAGGCACAAAGGTCAAGAAAGATAACTAAAAAGTGTTAACTGGGGGACTTCTCCGGTGGCGCAGTGGTTAAGAGTCCACCTGCCTATACTACAAAGCTACAGTAATCAAGACAATATGGTACTGGCACAAAAACAAAAACATAGATGAATGGAACAAGATAGAAAGCCCAGAGATAAACCCATGCACCTATGGTCAACTAATCTATGACAAAGGAGGCAAAGATATACAATGGAGAAAAGACAGTCTCTTCAATAAGTGGTGCTGGGAAAACTGGACAGCTACATGCAAAAGAATGAAATTAGAACACTCCCTAACACCATACACAAAAATAAACTCAAAATGGATTTGAGACCTAAATGTAAGACCAGACACTATAAAACTCTTAGAGGAAAACATAGGAAGAACACTCTTTTTCATAAATCACAGCAAGATCTTTTTTGATCCACCTCCTAGAGTAATGGAAATATAAACAAAAATAAACAAATGGGACCTAATGAAACTTCAAAGCTTTTTCACAGCAAAGGAAACCATAAACAAGACCAAAAGACAACCCTCAGAATGGGAGAAAATATTTGCAAATGAAGTAACTGACAAAGAATTAATCTCCAAAATATATTAACAGCTCATGCAGCTCAATATTAAAGAAACAAACAACCCAATCCAAAAATGGGCAGAAGACCTAAATAGACATTTCTCCAAAGAAGACATACAGATGGCCAAGAAGCACATGAAAAGCTGCTCAACATCGCTAATTATTAGAGAAATGCAAATCAAAACTACAATGAGGTATCACCTCACACCAGTTAGAATGGGCATCATCAGAAAATCTACAAAAAACAAATGCTGGAGAGGGTGTGGAGAAAAGGGAACCCTCTTGCACTGCTGGTGGGAATGTAAATTGATACAGCCACTATGGAGAACAGTAGGGAGGTTCCTTAAAAAACTAGAAATAGAATTACCAAATGACCCAGCAATCCCACTACTGGGCATATACCCAGAGAAAACCATAATTCAAAAAGACACATGCACCCCAATGTTCATTGCAGCACTATTTACAATAGCCAGGTCATGGAAGCAACCTAAATGCCCATCGACAGATGAATGGATAAAGAAGTTGTGGTACATATATACAATGGAATATTACTTAGCCATAAAAAGGAACAAAATTGAGTCATTTGTTGAGACGTGGATGGATCTAGAGACTGTCATACAGAGTGAAGTAAGTCAGAAAGAGAAAAAGAAATATAGTATATTAACGCACGTATGTGGAACCTAGAAATATGGAACCAGTTTGCAGGGCAGAAGTTGAGACACAGATGTAGAGAACAAACATATGGACACCAAGTAGGGAAAACCGCGGTGGGGTGGGGATGGTGGTGTGCTGAATTGGGCGATTGGGATTGACACATCATTGACACTGATGTGTATAAAATTGATGACTAATAAGAACCTACAGTATAAACAAACAAACAAACAAAAAACAACTAATACTAAAAAAAAAAAAAGAGTCCGCCTGCCAATGCAGGGGACACGGGTTCGAGCCCTGGTCTAGGAAGATCCCACATGCTGTGGAGCAACTAAGCCTGTGCACCACAACTACTGAGCCTGCGAGTTAGAGTCTGCGAGCCACAACTACTGAAGCCCATGCGCCTAGAGCCCGTGCTCCACAACAAGAGAAGCCACCGCAGTGAGAAGCCTGTGCACTGCAGTGAAGAGTAGCCCCCGTTTGCCGCAACTAGAGAAAGCCCGTGTGCAGCAAGGAAGACCCAATGCAGCCAAAAATAAATAAATAAATTTATTTAAAATAAAAAAGTGTTAACTGGAATTGGTGATAGATTACCAGTGACCTTGATAATGGCTTTATTTGGAGTGTGAAAGCATAAACTAGATTTTGGTGTTGGGGTGATCATAGTTTGATTCCTGACTCAACTACTTATTAGCTGTTTGGTATTGGGAAGTCAATTAACCTCTATGAGCTCCAGTATCCTGAGCTGTAAATTGGGGATAAACAGAGCTACCTTATTGAGTTATTGTAAAGATTAGCAATAATGCACATAAACCATAAAACACAGTGTCTGTCTTACAGTAAGTACTCAATAAATGCAAACCCTTGCTTCATTTAATCTTTTGTCCCCCAAATTGCTGTTTCTTTATAGGTAATGCCTTTTCACTTTTAATATTTTATTTTTGTCCCTGTGTTCTCAATGTTTTACATTATATGCCAAGTCTTTGCTCAAATCTCACCTCTTTAATGAGGCCGTCCTAGTTAATATTGACTTTCCTGTTTAATACTGTAATCTGCCCTCCCCAACCCAGCATTCCTAACCCTCCTACCGTGTTCTACTTTTTTTTTCTTCTCATAACACTTAACAGTCTAGAGAATTTACTAATATATTATGTTTATTGTTTACTATCTGTCTTCCCCACCTGTATGGAAGATCCTTGCCTGTTTTATACAATTAGATATTCCAAGTGCCTAAATGGTACCTGGCACATAGTAGGTGCTCTATTAATATTTGTTGAGGAACTAAATGGAAAAAGAATAGGTGAGGATTTTTTTTCCTGCTCAGGACTGGATGTGCTCCTTCAATCTGGGGACTTGTCTTTTCTCACCTCTTTAAATTCTCAACCATTATCTGTTAAAATGCAGCTCTGCCCCATCCACTCCATTTTATCCTCCTGGAGCTCCTGTTAGAATATGTTGACCCAATCATTCCATCCTCAGTGTCTCCTAAGTTCTTTCTTTGACAATGATTTAGCTCTCTGCTTCATTTGAAGGAAATTTCCTCAGCTCTATCATTGTCGCTCTCTTTTTTTACTGGGGTATAGTTGTTTTACAATGTTGTGTTAGTTTCTACTGTACAGCGAAGTGGAGTTCCCTGTGCAGCAGGATCTTATTAGTTATCTCTTTTATATATATTAGTGTATATATGTCAATCCCAATCTCCCAATTCATCCCACCCCCCCACCCCTATCATTGTCTCTTTTTAGCTGTGTCTAGTCTACTCTTCAACCGTTAATTGAAGTTTTATTGCAATGACAATATTTTTTTGTGCCTAGAATTTCTATTTCTGCCTCCCTATTCCTTCCTGCTTCTTCCTTTCCATTCTTTCCTGTACTTGTTTCATGGTTTCTAATCTTCCCTTTATCTCCTTGGATATTTTAAATATTCCCAGATTAAGATTTCTTTCAGGCTTTTCTGTTATCCCCAGTCCTTGGAGTGTGAACCCTTCCATTTGTTTAATCAGCTGGATTTCTTGCTATGGTTCATTCCTTGGTGCAGTCTGTAATTTTGGATGGTGAGCTCACCCTTCACAGTGGTTGTCTGGCATTTGCCCTTGCTGGGGTCTTAAGAGTTAGCAACTGAAAAGGCTCCAGAAAGGCACCACTGAATGGCCTGTCTTTGGAGGTGAGGATGAGGGTGGCAGAGTGCAGGTGTTAAGGAAGGTGCTCTGAGTTCACTTCCCCACTGTGAAACTATTTGCATAACTGTGCGCAAATTACTCTTGGAGTCTTAATTCTCTTAATTATGAAATAAAGATAATAATTCCTATTTCCTAGAGATGTTGTGAGGAATTAGTATGATAGTCAAGTTAACGAACTAAGCACAATGTTTAGTATGTATGAAGTGCTTAATATATGCTAAAAAATATTTTAAATACTTGTCAATATCTTCTCCTTGCTTTGTGATATAAGGGAAGAAACATAATGCTTGTGAAAATAGCTTCTGAATATGTATATGAAACAGAGAGACAGCCATTACATTTGGACACTGGTCAGATCTATCCTCTTTATTTGTTACACATATTAGCTGAAAATGGGGGAAAAACAATTCCAGAAGAACATGCTCACTTGGCTTTCAGCCACCACAGAGGAGCACTGATGAGAGGTGGAAGGAAATTTCAGACATGATGCTTTTTAAAAAATAAGGCCTAATTAGAGACTGGGATCATTTGCCAACTATTTTGGATCATTAAAATAGAGCAGGAGGAAGAGTTCTTCTTCTGAGAAAAAAATGACCCAGAAAAATTTCTTTGGTTTTATTCAAATAGAAAATATATTAATATCTTGGCTGTGTTGTCCTTGGTCATCAGTCCCTTTCAAAGGTTAGAAAGAGAAAAGCAGAGCCCTGAACCTGTAACCAATGCTTAGTAAATACCGTGGGCTTATTACAGGGAAGGGCTAGAGACACAGGCAAATTCTTGGCCAAGAGAACCTCATGTAACTTCACTTCTATCTCATGTAACTTTTGACCACAAATCTTTCCTCAAATAATTGCCACTTTGAATCTGTGGATAAGGGAGGGTTAAAGGGCCAAAGTTAATGTATAAAAGCTGTATGATTTATCATGGAATAGATTATTTTAGTTCTCTGTAAACATTTCACAGAATGATTTGTAATTCTAATTTTCATGAAACATTTATAAAGACTAAAATTAGAAACATTTAAATAGAGAAATATTTTTAGATTCTAAGTACCTGATCTTCGTAATCAGATCCTGTATCAGTGATCTCTCCAGTGTCCAACAGCATTGAAGGATCAAGGTCACTTGAACCTAAGATTAGGAAAACAAAGATTACCTGATGGAGGCCATCCGTGTACATTTCTGAGGCAAACAAATGCCCACCAAGTTTCCATATTGTCTTATTTACAAATATTTCCAGACTCTTCCCATCTGCCAGGCACTGTTTGGCCTGCAGATGGAAAATGCAGATGTAACAGAGCAGGACCCTATGGGGCCTTCCCAGGACAGACCCCCTCCCCCATATCCTCTGCTTTAGCTCCTCTCTGAAGTACCTAGATAATAGTATCTGATGCACATTTCCTGCGTTGTTTTACAAAGGTTAAAACCACCACCAAATGGAAGAAATTAACTACATGACGATCATGAACACCTAGCTCCCAGATCTACTAGTGCCTAAGGATTGAGAATGTTAACCCCTGTGACACCGCCCAGTTACCTCACCATCAACCAATCAGAGAGCTGTGCACGAGCTGATCACATACCCTGGGACACCTCTCCCTCACCTGGCTTTTAAAAATACTTTGTTGAAACCCACAGAGAATTTGGGCTTTTTGAGCACTAGCTGTTCTGAACTCCTTGTTGGTCACCCTGCAATAAATGCTGCACTTTCCTTCACCACAACCCGGTGTCAGTAGACTGGTTTTACTGCATGTGGGGGAGTAGACCCAAGAACGGTTTGGTAACACAGATACCTAGACACTGTCTAGAAGACAATGATCTTGTGGAGGAGATGAATTTATCAACAGCAAGTTTCAGAAACCAAAAAGAAAGACTAATTCTGATTAGTAGTGGAGGAGATGATGGGGGTGGGATTCTTCACAAGGAAACAGTTTGTGAGTCTAAACTGTGAGGGTGAATACGGGTGGTCCAGGAGGAGAAGTGGTTTAAGGGTGTGCAATGGTGGCTGAGGAAGAAGGAACACCAGGAGCAAAGTACAGAGTGAGAGTAGAGCAAGGGGTTTCCAGGAAAAGAAGGGCTGAGTTTGCTCACTCCATGAGAACCTGAGAAGTTTTTCCTCTAGCCTTTGGGTCACCTTAGTCCCCGAAGGTGAGAAAAATCAGGTTAACTTAATGTATTAATATAGAGTTTTTTCCCCCTAGGTACTACAGGTTACACTGAATCACCTTCCCATTAATCCCCAAGGCTCACACTTAAACCAGTAATTGTCTTAATGGGACTCATGAAGCACAATTGATTCATCGTCCTCATCTAATGACTCTTTCTTGCTGGGAAATATATATTACCTAACTAGCCAGAAAGACAGAATTCAGTGCTGTCCATAAAAAGCCAGGCACCCTGTGAAGAAACCAACCACTCCATGCTTCATTGTAAACTTGCCCTTGCCAAATAACTCTTGTTCAGAATATGCAGTGAGTAATGTTTAATGAAGATGAATTTTCAAAACAATGTCAAGCATCTCACACACTTCTCAGATATGGACCTCTCCCAGAGATGCTGCTTCCGTACTTTCTTCCAGAAAAGGAATCAAGGTGTGTCCCCACACAGTCTTTCGTCATTTCTACTCTTCTCATCATTACCCCTGCTGTTCACCAAATTGACTAAGTACTAACCCATTATCAAATTGACTAAGTACTAAGCAGTAACACCATTGTTTACTGTGTTTGTAATTTAAAAAAAAATTTTTTTAAGTACAGTAAAGGCTTTCAAAATGGAGATACTTGACCCATCAAACCATTTTGGAAAAGTAACTAACTGTAGAGCTACCATGTATAGTTGCATAAATGTGTACTGCACAATTCTTGGTGATGCCCTTGGCAACACCAGTGTTAATGAGGTGCTTGTAGAATGGAGTTAGGAGGACTATTAATAAAGTGAGACTAGAGGGGTGATATGGAAACATTAATTTTATATATAATTTTTTAAGTAGAAGGATTATATACTTGTAATTTTTCTGTCTCTGTGCTTTAAGTATTTTTCAGATAAATACTTTTATTTATAAGATGTACCTTATAAATAAAAGGTGTACCTTAGGGCCAAACTACCTGATGTCTCAGAACCCAGTTGGAAGACCATTTTGCACTTATGTGTTGGGAGACAGTAAATATGTCAGAAGTAAAACATACATTTTTCCATTTTAAGATCATGGACATTTTAGAATTTAATATTTCATAGAATCCTACCCTGTCACTTTAGAAAAGAGGAAAATGAGCTGTGGAGAAGTTATATAGCTTGGCCAAGGTCATGCAGAAAGTGACTGAGATCAAAGACAGAAGTCACTGCTCCCATTTCTAACATAGCCTGCTGACTCCAAGTTGTAAGCAGGCAAAATCCAAATGGCTTTATAAACATGATCTTTCATTACAGTGCTCTGCAGGGGAGGACCTTGGAGGAGTGTGCTATCTCTTCTACATTCTGAGAAAATAGGAACAGTGAATGGACGATGATGAAGTGGGTCACTGGGTGGCTGCGGAAAGGGAAGAATAGAAAGTGGAATAAAGAGGTGTCACTCCAGCCTGTGACAGTCAAGGTGGCTGCTATTGACAGCACCGTTAAAGGCAATGCCAGTTTTAACTAGTTTTTGTTACTTCCACAATATGGATATTATTCACCATTGACTAGTGGTGATAGATACTCAAATGATACCCTCCCCTTAGAATTTAGAGTGATTCATGTGCAGTGAGCAACGTGATCTGAACACAAAGGCTCATTAAACATATAGCTGTTTCAGTTCCTCTGTCCTACTTATTTAATTAGAAACTGTTCTTTTGGTCGTTTTAATAAAGTACAATGTGAAGGACTCTTAGACAACCCAGTTAACAGAGATATTACACATTAATATTTGAAAGTGGAAAAAGATTATTAGAAAACTATCTTCAGCGATGGTAGAATGAAGAGGTCTTTGTTTAAAAAGCAACTTCTGCTTATAAGGAAGAAGAGATTGGCTTTCCTAATAAAATGTTTTGAACAGAAATTTTATTGTATCATCAAGGGGTGGAATTTCTTGACGTGCTGTTGCTCTTGGCAACAGTACTAATAGATCATAGAAGGCATAGACAGAGGATGTCATTATCAGCTCAGATAATGATTGAATAGCTTTCATTTTCTTTTAGTATTGGTTGCTTGGTTTGCTGAAAATGGGACCTTTAATAACAGTCTAAGGCTTGACATACAAAATAGGGAGGTAAATATAACCATATGTACACATTTTTGCCATCTTTCATTGGATAATTTAACACATAAAACAACTGCAATGATCTTGTTACTCAAAGAAGACAGCAAAATTAGGACCTTTTGCAAAAGTGATGGTATGGCTTTCGTTTCCCTCTATTTTGAATTTCTTGATTTCTTTTCAGATTTAGAAGTATCCTTCCCATAGATAACAGAGAAAGGTATGAGCTGAAATAGAACCCCACAGGGGGCACTCAGTGTCACTAGTTTTAGACATTGAATGGTCTTCGGAAATATTTTCAGGTTGTTTCCTTAAATTTAAGTGGGACGATGACAAATTGGCTTCAGAGGTACAGGAAGGCTAACCATACTGCCTTCTGGGACACTGGTAAAGACTTGTTTCCTCCTAGTGGATCTTCGATCTGAAGTTTGAGGAAGGCCCTCCTCCCACTTGGAGTATCAGATAGAGGGAGACTCCTGCAAGGCGGGGTTTCCTGCACAGTGAAGGGAGTCTGCAGATAAAGCTCCTCTCACATTTCTCCTGCCCCGTCTGAGGAAAGCGGTCTCTCCCTTCTCCTGTCTCTTCTGCTAAACCGTCAGCAGCTTTAGGTGGGGTTGTGTTTCTTCTCTGAATCTAAGAAAAAAACTTAGAAATTCTATGCATTCGATACATATATGCTGAATGACTGAAAAATGGATAAAAGGACAGTTACATTTCACTTTTGTGGATCTCAATCTTTTTTTTTTTAGCATCTTTATTGGAGTATAATTGTGTTACAGTGGTGTGGATCTCAATCTTAATCATTCGCTCCATTCGCTCTTTGAACATTAAATCCCTCCTAAGCACCTTAGGCATTAGGCACGGAGAATCCAGCTCTGATTCCAACAGGCTTGGAAGTGTTAGTAGCAGTTTGTGTTAGAATTCCTTTGAAGAAGGGCATTGTATTTCTTTGGAAAAAAAATATCCTGGCAGTATTTGGGTCTAGAAGGAAGCTCCTCGAGGGAACTGGGTGTTGGGGGACTGTTCTGGGTGAGAAGAGAAGGGGGGATTTTCTTTTTTTTTTTTAGTTACTCCATGACAGCGGTGGGGGAAGGGAGGAAGAGAGGGAGAAGAGGGTAAAAGTCAACCTAGGAAAATGGGGAAAGGCTGTGCTGCATAAGATGTGGTCTCTCCCTGTGACCCCTCAAATCCTCAGCAAAGATACTAACCTATACTTAACCTTTTAAACGGGACAGCCGCATGCTTTATACACATAAGCCATTTACTCTTCACAACTGTCCTATGAGGTAGCGCTAATATTCTTTCCTTATAGATGGGGACACTGAAGCCCAGAGACACTGAGTGATGTAGGCAGATGACTCTGCTAGAAGTATTACTGGAAGTTTCCATGGAGGAGGAAACACCACAGACAGGGTGCAGAGGTTCAGGGATGGCATTTTCTGGCCTGGAGGCAAGCAAATGCACACTCTGCTCTGGAGCAAAAGGAAATTTGGTGTGGCTGTGAGTTGATGAGCCCAGGTGAGTAGCCCAGCTGAGGTGGCCAGCTAGAAGAGAAAGGGCTAACGTGGCATCTCGCATGAGATTCATCCCAGATTTCAAACCAACGCTCACATATACTCTCTGTCCTCATGAAGTCTTGCACTCTTGTAAAGGACATAGAGTTTTAACAAACAATCCTATACCTAATTATATAATCACAGTTGCGATGAATGCCCTGAAGGTAAAGGGCAGAGCGCTACACAGGGATGTAGTCTGGGATGGGGTCTGAGAACGTTTCCTTGAGGAAACCACATTTAAACTGAGATACAAAGCAGGACCCGGCCAGATGAAGGACCGGATGAAGGAGTGAGAGAGTAGAGGGATGCAAATGGAGACAGGTGGTTCCAAGTACTTTGTGCAAATGGCCAGAGGCGGGAAGGTACCTGAGGCATTCAGGTGCTGGAGGAAGCTGGTGTGAGGGAGGGGAGAGGTGACGCTCTGACGGGGACATGACCACTGCAGGAAAGCTAAGGATATTTTTGTCACGGTAAGAACCCTGGTGCTCAGCCTGCAGGAAAGTCATGGAAGGTTTTGCTTTGTTTTGGTTTTTGTCAAGGGGCTGCATTCTGGGAGGATCCCCATGGCAGCAACAGGATTCCTAACAGAAGGACAGGCCGGGCCAGGAATGACAAAGGCTTCGATGAGTTTTCACTAGGGATAGTGAAGGAGGCCTGGACTCCCAAGGTGTCTCTGAGGAACGACGATCCATGATCGGTGTGAGGTGTGAGGGCAGGGACACTTTTGCCTGGCTCTCTTAAAAAAGAAAAACTGCGTGATCTCCCTTGCATGTGGAACCTAAAAAGGTCAAATACATAGAGGCAGAGAGTAGAATGGTGGTTGCCACAGACACGCAGGTGGGGGAAGTGGGGAGATTTTGACCAAAGGGTACGAAGTTGCAGTTACGTAGGAAGAATATGCCTAGAGATCCAATGCACAGCAAGGTGACGACAGTTCATAATATGTATTGAATACTGGAAAATTGCTAAGAGAATATGTTTCAGATGCTCATTCATCAAACACGGAAGAATGGTAACTATATGAAGATGAAGTATGTTAATTAGCTGGACTGTAGCAATCATTTCACAAATCAAATCATCGTGTAGTATATCTTAAACATACACGATTTTTATGTAAAAAATTTAAAGGAATTGAAAGCTATTCATGTGGAGGTGATATGGGAGCAGTGGGGCAGCTGAGATACTGCAGAGAGAGGATTCAGGAGAAGGGAAGAGCCACGGGAGAAAACCTGGGGGCTGCCGTGTCACAGAGCAGAGACCACGGACATGGCTTGTTTAATTGACTGAGTTTAATTGACCAACATTTACAAGCTGGGAGATTTCACCTGCTGGTGCAGGCTCACCAGGGCTGTTACAGATAGAACAGGTTTACTTTAAGGCTGGAGCAGAGCCCAGTTTTCAGGGGTCTTGGAAGTGGAAGGGATCTAGGGGGAGTTGAGGCTGTGAGCACAGACCCCTCTGTTCATAAGCTCGGAGTTGTAGAGAGGAAGGAGTGGTCTCCTGGAAGCCTCTGCTATGGGCCAGGCACCGTGCACTCTACCAAGGGGACATGAAGAGGACAAAGACACAGTTTACTGAATTGCACACAAGCCAGCCCAGCTACATCGCTATAGGACGAGGCTACTTTGGAGCAATGCTACTTGAGAGCCATAAAGTGCTGGGAGTTCTAAAGAAGGGGCCGCTTAAATCTTCTCCTCTGCTCCACTGTTTGGAAACTGAGGGTATCTAGCCGATAGATATTTGTTATTAGAGGTCTAAATGAATGTTCTAAATGAAACGTTAAAATAAAAGCACAGGTGTCAGCAGTTTTCAGAGCAGTGGTACTTCTGTTTACATGATCTTACATGCTTCTCAACAACACTCCCTCTTGCTCTGCAATAGGCCATCTTTCTGTAAATATCACTGGAAAATGAGGCAGGTGAGTTTACGTCAGCTGTCTGTGCTCTGCGGGTCTGTCCAGAAAGACTACTGCCTTTTAAAAAACTCTGTCTTTCTTCGAACCTACTTGCAGTGAGCTTCAAACTTTTAGGTGTTTAGCCTTTTTCTTTACAGCCCGGAACTTTTGGTCTTTATTCACTGAGGCCATAACTGAGAAGAAAGGTGAGGACTGAGAAAGATTTGAGAGTCATCCACGTAGAATTGATGGTTGAAACCAGGACGGACAAGGAGCTGACCCAGAGAAAGAGTAAAAGAGAGTGAGAGAAGGGTCAAGGACAGAAATGTGAGTACCTCCTACTTAAAGGGGTATGATTACCCTGCACGATTGTCCAACGTCAAACTTCTAGACATAGGAAGACAAGGGGCAGAGCCACAACAGGGGCTGTGGGTCGGGATGGGAGCAGCTATCACACCAAAGAGGAGGCTTTTCCCAGGTGGCACAGGAGAGACAGGTATGAGTTAGGGAGTTCTGGAGAAACTGTAACTTTTATTGTTGCACAAATTGTGGGTTAGATCATTTTAAAATTATAGTAACAGAGGTCCTTTGCTACATTGTGACTGCCTGCTAATTTGCACTTTCAATGACTGGAAGAAAGGCAGTAGCTGTTAAGAGCGAGATGTATGGCTCTTTTCTATGTCGTTTTGTGCCTTTATTTTATTTTTTATTTTTTTGCGGTACGCAGGCCTCTCACCGTTGTGGCCCCTCCCGCCGCGGAGCACAGGCTCTGGACGCGCAGGCTCAGCAGCCATGGCTCACGGGCCCAGCCGCTCCGCGGCATGTGGGATCCTCCCGGACCGGGGCACGAACCCGCGTCCCCTGCATCGCAGGCGGACTCCCAACCACTGCGTCACCAGGGAAGACCAGTGCCTTTATTTTTACACCAGAAGTTGTAAAGACCTGAGGACAACATCATGCTTACGACCTTACGGCAGTTTGTTGAGCTCCAACCTTACTACAAAGCCCTAGACGCTTGGCAGGGGATCAGGGTATACTGCAGCGCAAAGGACACAGTGACTTACCTGCTGCAGCCTCTTTGTTTGGAAATAACTTGCTGTCAACTGCCATGCTGATGTCATAGAACACCTCATCCTCATCTCGGTCGGCATCAAACTGGGAGAAATCAGGACAGACAAGTTGGGAACGTGAGGATACATAAATTAATTCATTCCAAAATATAATGAACATGCATCACACAACTGTATCTCTAATGAAGCAGGACAACAGGAACTGAGTCTTTAATCAGATATTTAGAGGGTTTTTCAAGCCCGGACCTCATATCAAACAGAGAGGGGTGTTAGGGAGTAAGTGTACAGTCACTAACAGTTAAGAAAATTGTGTAGAATTTTCTTAATTTCTAAAACAAGCTTTGGAAAACCCCATAAATTGTGTTTTCTGGCTCGTAGTTTTGGTTTGAAATCTTCCCCGCCGCTGCCTCCTTCATGAAAAAATATTTCTAAACAACATGGGGATAGATTTTCTAATTTATTGTTAAAAAAAGAAAAAAGAGACCCCTCAAACCAAATTTTAGCTACTATACAAATACTATAGATGCTATTCTATAGGTATAGTCTACAGACACTATAGGTTTAGATGTAACAAAAATTATGGATTCAAATATTTTACCATTCTCTAAAATTTACAAAATTTTTAATATTAAAAATGTGGTTACATTTATAAATCCCCTATTTCCCAAGTTGTTCAGTGGTTTTGAAATATTTATTTATTTGGCTGTGCTGGGTCTTAGTTGCAGCACGTGGGATCTTCATTGCTGCGTGCGGGGTCTTTAGTTGCAGCATGTGAGATCTAGTTCCCTGACCAGGGATTGAACCGGGGCCCCCTGCACTGGGAGTGTGGAGTCTTAGTCACTGGACCACCAGGGAAGTCCCTCAGTGGTTTTTAGAAATACACTTTTGTCTCTTTGTTTTTTTAAAATAGGCTTACTGAGTTATAACTGATATACAATAAACTGCATATATTTAAAGTGTACAAAATGGTAAGCTTTGACATCTGTATACACCTGTGAAACCATCGTAAAAATCAAAATAGTGAACATCTCCATCACCTCCCCCCAAAGTTTCCTTGTGCCCCTTGGGAATCCCTTCCTCCTGCCCCACCCCCCCATCAGGTAATCATTGATATGTTTTCTGTGACTAGAGATTACTTTGCATCTTCTAGAATTTCATGTAAAAGGAATTGTACAACATGAAATATTTTTGTCTGGATTCTTTCACTCTCCACAATTATTTTGAGATTTATCAAGTTTATTCCTTTTCATTGCTGAGTAGTATTCCATTGTATGGATATACTATTGATTCCATCCTGGGTATGTTTCATCTTGGACATTGTAGTTTTTATCCATAGATGTTTGATTTGAGTCTTTAAAAATATCTATGTCTCTATTTAAGGTTTTAAACACATGAAATACAATTATAACTTCTAATATCCTTTTCTGCTAATTCCTACAACTGAGTTGGTTTTCATTGATTTCCCCCATTATTATGGGGGCATATTTTCCTGTTTCTTTGCACGCCTGGTAATTTTTTTACTGGATGCCGGGCATTGACAATTTGACCATGTTGGATGGTAGGTGTTTTTGTATTTCTATATTCTTGAGTTTCATTCTGGAATGCAGTTTAGTTACTTGGAAACAACTTGATCCTTTCCGGTCTTGTGTTTAAGATTTGTTGGACTGGACCAGAGCAGTGTTTAGTTTAGGGTTAATTATTCCGCCCTGTTGAGGCAAGACACTTTGAAGTACTCTACCCATTTCCTTGTGAATTAAGGGATTTTCCAGTCTGGCTGTGGAAACAGGCACTCTTCTCAGGCTGGTGTGAGCCCCAGCTACTGTTCCTGCTGATCCTTTTGGGTGGTTTTTCCCTCAGCCTTGGGCAGTTTGCTCATATGCATGCCCTGATTAGTACTCTGCTGGATGTACTCCAGAGTTCTCTCTCTGTGCATCTCTGGTACTCTGTCCTCTGCAATCCAGCCACCTTGGGTCTCTTGCACTCTCAACTCCATTTCCTCAACTCTTGGAGTCTACCCATCTCCACAAGGCTTCCTTCTCCCTGCACTGTAGCTGGAAAGTCTCCAGTAATAAGCTGGGGGCAATCACAGGGCCCATCACATTTGTTTCCTTTCTCTCAGGGAATCACCTCATTGTCTGATGTCCAGTGTCTTAAAATTGTTTTTTTTTAAATATATATTTTCTGTTTATTTATTTTTGTTTGTTTCATGGGAGGGAAAATACTGTCTCTTTTATTCCATCTTGGGGTTTTTTTTTGTTTGCTTGTTTGTTTGTTTGTTTTTTTCGGTACGCGGGCCTCTTACTGTTGTGGCCTCTCCCGTTGCGGAGCACAGGCTCTGGACGCGCAGGCTCAGCGGCCATGGCTCACGGGCCCAGCCACTCCACAGCATGTGGGATCCTCCCAGACCGGGGCATGAACCCGAGTCTCCTGCATCGGCAGGCGGACTCTCAACCACTGCGTCACCAGGGAAGTCCCCATCTTGGTTTTTAACCTTAATTATTATCTTGAAGATATTTGAAAAGATTTAAGTGATTTATTCCTTTATATTTTCCTACTGAAGTGCTTCATTATTTTTAGTGAGAGGAATTTAGAAGCCCAAATTAGAAAGTTATTACCTAATCTCCCCTTACACAGTTAAAGCTCATCGTATGGTGCTTTAAAGTACTTTCACTATGTCACATCAGCCCACGGGAAAGGTGAGGCAGATTGTCTTGTTTCTATTTTACAGGTGAGGAAATACCTGCTCAGAGATTATGACTTTCTCAAGTCAAACAGCTGACAAGCAGGAGAAGTAGGACTTGCACTTAGGATGACTGACACTTTCCATCCTATCAGGCTAAATGTGATCATCATAGTCAGACAAATATAGCCCTGCTGCTCAAATGAGTGTTAACAGCCCCTCTGTCTAAACGCAAGGGCGAGAAAAGCAGATGGTGGTTAGGGCAGATACGAGGGGACCACCAAGGCAAGATTAGTGCCACCTTAATGCACTGCTTCCCACACCCATAGACCATGGCTGTTCTTTTTCTTTCAAAATGTCTGTCAGCTATCATCAGTAACGGGTAAGTTCTACTAAGAGGGGGTTTGTTTTTATTTTTTTCTTGGGCTTTTGAAAGATGGGTGGCAGCATATAATTTTATAAATAAGAAAGCATAAGCTTATGTTTTAGCTGTAGTTCCCCAGAAAACAGAACCTAAGGCAAAACTTATAGGTTAACACTTTATTGGGGGCGCGTGTATGCATGTAATCCCAGGGCAGTAAGTTTGAAAGAAAAAGGGAAGCGAGACAGAGAAGGAAGCAAAGCAAATGTAAGGTGGCATGTTACTGATCTGGTCCCCAGCTTCACAAAGTCACAGCTGGTCTCCAGAAAGTCTAAATGGAACCAGTACATCTCAGAACAGTCTGAGGAGGGAGGTAGGGAGAGGCATTTATATGCTGTCTTTTCAGTTTCCTGCTTCCACTGGTCCAAGTTTTCCTTATGAAGGGTTAAGTCCCCTCACCTCTTGGTTGTGTTTCCTAGACCCCGGGGCAGCCCCTGGGAAGCCAGATCCCATGCCCCAGGGAGTGGCAAAGCATCTGGATCTAGAAGTGCTGGAAGGTGCCCAACCCCCTGCAGGTATGGTCTGGTTGGGCCTGGGAGCCATCTCTGCACAGGCTCCCACCAGGCTGGGGACGATGAAGCCCAGCCTTCATCCTTAAGAGGCTGGCTGGGTCCGTCAGCCACGCCGGAAGGAAGGGCATCGGTGGACAGCTCTCCATTCAACAAGTGACCGAGGCCCAGGGCACATGGGCCAAGTGAGTCAGGGGAAGCTTGTAAACTGGCTTAGGCAGCTTAAAACTCAACCAGAGCTTGATTTGAATTTCTGCTTTCCCTGTAGCAGCAGTCTGATCTTGAACAACTTATTTCCCTGTTCTTAGCATATATACAATGCGATTATTATTATTATTATTATTTTGTGGTACGCGGGCCTCTCACTGCTGTGGCCTCTCCCGCTGCAGAGCACAGGCTCCGGATGCGCAGGCTCAGTGGCCATGGCTCACGGGCCCTGCCACTCCGCGGCTTGTGGGATCTTCCCAGACTGGGGCACGAACCTGTGTCCCCTGCATCGGCGGGCGGACTCTCAACCACTGCGCCACCAGGGAAGCCCCATACAATGTGATTATTGTGAGGGCTAAAGAGATGGTGTATTCAATACCCCAATACAGAGCCTGGCATAACTGCAGTCCTTCTTTTTCCTCCTTAAGGCTGAGGGAGTATGTTCTATAGACCTTTGATTGCTTCTGTACTTTGAACAAGGCGTGTGTATGCTACACACACACACACATGCATACACTTATTTTTTTTTAAACTTGGGGATTGTGTAATAAGGAATACAACTGACTTTGAGATTTTCTAGGAGATATTCTATCCTCCAACTGATTTGAACAAGGATATGTTTAGCTCTGGCAGACTAAAGTACTTAATTGTCCAATCCAAAAGGCAAAATGCAAAAAGTAAAACATCATTCATGAAAGCATTCAACAAATATTTGCTGAGTATCTACTATGTCCTAGGTAGATTCTTCAACTGACCACTCTTAAGTGATTGGACTACGAAAAAGGAGCCCCAAGGAAGGAAGATGACACCCACACAGCCAACTCAACTCTGGGATTATAGAGATATTGTTGAAGCCCACTGACTCTTGCATCAGGACCACAGGAGTTAACCTCGTCTTCCTTATTTTCTGTAACATCCCACTTTGACAGCTCCAGGACTAGCATGGGACTCTTGTCTCTAGTCGTTTGGCAAATTATGTGGCATCCGGACCTTGGAGAGCACTCTGATTGGGTACTATCAGGACAACTGCCACTTAACGGACAAAGACCTTTACAAATTGGTAACATTCAGTGTTGGAGAGGTTGTGTGTATGGTGAGTGGAGAAGTGGCTTTTCAGTCATCAGACTTTTTACTTACTATCTGTTTTTGCACAAACCATACACATCCGTGGTTCCAACCAGGAATAATTGTGTCCACCCCTCCCACCCCTGCCCCAATATTTGGCAATGCTGGTAGATATTTTTGGTTGTCACAACTGGAAGGGGGGA